TGCTGCTGCCAGTGCCTAACCACTGGACCACACACTCACAGTTGACCAGTGTATCAACTGTATCCCAGTGATCAGCTGCGATCCTGGGGCTGCCTGGCCTCAACGGGGTTATCAGAACGTCAGAGGGCATTAGTCGGGGCAGCCTGTCTTTGGAGCTGCCGTGAAGGCCATGGCTTCTCCGTGTTGCCTTCTCATCTTTGTTTATATAGACAAAGACCCTCTGTGCCATCCGGTAGCACCCAGGGCATAAATGCCAACACTCATGTGAAGTCAGCTTATTGGGACTCATCAAGTTGTTCTCACCCGACACAGGCCTGAGCATCAGCAGTTCCGCTCCTTTGGTGACAGCAAACAACACAGAAGTGCCTGCCTTTACTCAAAGGAACAGGCCCAGCTCAGCAGTGGCTTTCCAGACCACAGCCCTCACTCAGTATGATCCTCTAGACACTCAAACTCTGAATGCTGAAACTGCTTCTAACACCTTAATTGCAACCAGTACCAGCTCAGAAGTCAGTTCCAGGGATACCCAGACCATCTCTCCTATAACAGAGACCAGGAAGACCACCTCTCCTACAGTGTCAACCCTAGAGACTCAGACCACCTCCCTTGAAGCATCATCCCTGAATACCCAGACCACTTCTCCTGCAGCATCAACCCTGGATACCCAGACCACTTCTCCTGCAAAAGAGGCCCTAAAGAACCAGACCATCTTCCCTGTTGAATTAACCCAAAAGACCCAGACCATTTCCTCTGTAACAGAGGCCACAACCCTTGAGATAAGAATGCCTTCCAACTTCATGGCTGTGCACCCCATCCCTACGGATACTTCAGATGCTTGGGCTACAAGCGGCAGCCCCAGAACTGGAATGATCACTGTCAAGCCTGGAACAGTGAGTGATCCCATAGAAGTCATTTTTGACACCCTTTGTACTGATGACAGCTCTGAAGAGGCAAGGAAGATCACACTTGACCTCTTAACCTTGGCGCACACCTCCACAGAAGCTGAATCCCTGTCCTCAGAGAGCAGCTCCTCCTCGGACAGCTCAGCTGGAGTCCTCACCAGCTCACAGGCCCTGGGGCCCGACATAGCAACTCCAGCCAAGGACTCGGTTGCTTTCAGCATCACCCACATTAAGCTCACCACCTGTATCACAGAAATAGAAACATCCATCTCTGGGACCTCAGACACAAACCACAGCCCTACAGGAGCAACAGCAGCCTTGTCCACTTCTGAGACGCTAACTTTGCCTCAATCCCCTGAGGCAAAACCATTTAGCCCCAAGATCACAAGCTCACCTGGGACCCTGCCAACAGCCAGCACCTCAGCCCTTGCTACCACTCTTGAGGGCACACTCCCTGTTAGTCATGTCACAGAAAGAGAAACAACGGTGGCTCAGATTCCCACCTCCGGTGGAACTTTGGTGACAGTTAGTGCGAGCCCACTGAAAGAGACCTCAGCATTCTCTACTGAGACACAAAGCCACGCCGAGGTCTCGGGGACAATTACAGTCTCCAGTGTTGCTGGGTCAACAATGGGAGAAGCGACCTCCTTCGCTGGTTCCTCAACTTCAGACAGCAGTCCCTCAGCAGGGGCCACCACCAAGAGCTCCTTTACCTCAGACACTTTAACCACAGATGATATAACCAGCAGCTCCTTCCTCACAGGTAACAGCACTCTTCCTTTTGTCTATTCAACTACAGCCAGCACCAGCAAAAAACCGAATGTCACCTCAGCCAAGACCACAGCCTCACCAAAGACCACAGCAAAGCACCCAACAACTACACCCGCTGCAGCCTGGACAAGGAGAACCACAAAACATGATCCAGGTAAGTAGAACTCCCATGTGTGAGCTTTGCAGATTTAAGTTTGGAGTATTCATAAGGAATTGAGAGGAAGGAAGGAGCTCAAGGCCGATGTTGCCTCCTCTCCCCGACATATCAGGATCTCCTGGTGGGTTGGTAATAGGTGGTTAGAAATGTATGTATTGTGTGGTGGTGTGTATGTGATGTGGTGGTGTGTATGTATTGAGTGTGAAACTGAGTTTTTGAGACGTGGTTGAGACCTTGACTGTGTTTTCTCCTGAGAGACCTTGGGCCTGTCCCTATCTCTGAGCCTAACTCTCTCCACCGTGTCTGGGGAAGGGGCTGCATCAGCACCATCTGAGTGAGCGCCGTCTTTTCCAGACCTAACCTCTACAGTATCAACTATTGAGCAACTACTGTGCTTCAGGTGAGATCTGAAATGTCATTTAAAAGACATGAGATCTGAAATGTCATTTAAAAGACTTGGCCCTTAAGCCAGTCATGCCCACACAGAAAGGAAGAAGAATGTAGACGAGCAACTTATCCAAATTGCTGCCATGTGTGCATGTGGAGGGCACAGAAGTGGGGCATGGTGGCCATGTTTGCTGTGTTCTACATCATAAAGAGTGACTTTAGACAAACCTACAGAACAACATTTGGGGGAATTTAAATCTTAATTTCTTCAAGAACAGAAACTCCTCAGAGGGGTCCACTGTCAGCAGGTCTGTGATAAGAACAGCTTGTGGGCAGCCTGAAGCATCTGCCCCTGTTGCTTGTTTTGTCCTTGTGGTCCATTCATGAGTATCTTTGTCTTGTCCCACCTTTTGGGGCAAGGGAAATAAAAATACTAATCATGAACTGAGGATCTAGCTCAGTGATAGAGCCTTTGACACTGGTAAAGTGTGCCTGAGACTCCAAGCCCTGAAAACCCCCATCTCTGTCATCTTTATCTCTCTCTGTCTCTCTGTGTATGTCATCTCCACCTCAGTCTTGATCTCTATCTCTCTTACCTCTGTCTACCATCTCCATCTCTATCTCTTTCTATGTTCAGCTACCAGTATCACCTTTTATCTTCATCTCTGTCTTTTTTTATCTCTTTATCAACTCTGTCAACCCTGCCTCTACCCATCATACATCTTCAGGCATGACATCACAGGTCTGCAACCCAGTACTCAGGAGGCAGAAGCAGGACAGAGTTTAAAGCCAGCTTGATCTACATAGTAAGACCCTATCAAAAAACCGGAACCAACCCAAAACAAAAATTAAAACAAAAACATTTAACCACAGTCATGTTACTGAATATCGTTTACATTCTGGGCAAAAATAATATAAAAATACTTGCTGGGTGTTGGTGGTACATGCCTTTAATCCCAGCACTCGGGAGGCAGA